CTATTTCTATTTTGTCTGTATTTCTTTTTTTTTCGTTTTGGAGCCTTCTTTGCCGCGCCGCATATGCATATTTCTCATTTGTTGCCGAGGAATGGAAAGGGGGGGGAAAAAAAAAAGAAGATTCACCTGCTCCTTCATCCTCTCTGAGTAACTCGACTAATTTTTCTCGCCTGCGTTGCTTTGACTCCAGCGCCGCTTCTGGCATTACTACTGCTACCACCACTCGTGCCACGCCTTCCACCCCACCCCCATTCTCTCCCCTCCAACGCCCTCCTCTCCCAGCCATCTGCACAGCGTGCATGCGTCATTCGTGGGCGATGGGACAACAGGAGGGAGAGAGAAAGAAAGAGATACAGCAAGAGTGGGCGAGACGTAAAGAAGAGCAAACACACACACACACATATTCCGCTATCCTCTCCCACCCACCCGTACCGGCGCATACACAGACGCACCCTCAAAATAGATGCCACGCCCCCCACCACCTACTCCATCACTCCCACGTCGCCTCTTCGTCTCGAACGACAAAGCTGTGGTTGCCCAGGCTTGGTAGCATGATGTGGACGTCGTCGGGATGTATCGAGGCGGACCACGGGAGCGCATGCACATCAAACACGGCCGTGACAAACAAAAAGTGCTCAAACATGACACCAGGTTGCGGTGCCCGCTCCTGCAGGAATTCATAAATCTTCTCCTTCTGCGCTTGGGTCAGATCCTTCCGCATCCCGCGGCAAAGCTGCGTGATACCCGAAAAAAACCTCTCTGGGGTGAGAGCGCGGTCCGTGGCGGACACGTTGAAGAGGTACGGCAGCTGACTCCGGGCCTGGATGACGACGTTCTGTAGCTGCTCCATCGCTTCATGGTCCCAGCGCAGGGCGTCAGGCACAGGACGCGTCGCCTTCTCGGCGAGCAACTCCAGAAACTTCGTTCCATCAATCTGGCCCTTGCCTTCCCTGTCTAAGTAAATAAATATTTGAAAGAGTTGCGCCTCACTTGTCGTGTAGTCAACGACCCGAATGACGGAGCAGAAATCCGTGTAGTTGACCATCCCCTTTCCAAACGCCACGGAAACGGATTGGGTGCGATGACCTGCTCGTTGCTTCATTACCAAGCTATACAGTGCGCCTTCCATCCAATCATTGAGCCAAAGCGGTTGAAGAAAGTTGTGAAACTTCTCCAGAAAGGGCGAGTACCAGATGCGTGAGTTCTCGTCCTCAGCTACAAGGTAGCCGCGCAGAAAGAACCACGGAAGGTCTAAGTTAAGTACATTGCGCATCGCCTCTGTCCACTCAATCTTCCAGACGGAGCCTTTGCAGGTGCGGTCAAGCTTCGCAAAGTAGGACAGGAGTCGATGTCGCCTTTGGTAGATGCGCTCGCGCAACACGCGAAGCACCTCGTCCCTCGTCCGTCGCCGCAGGAGAATGCTTGACGGAAAAGGTGTTGGGAGGGTGACGGACCTTGCCAGGGTTGGTGTGAATGGCTCGGTAACGTCAACGATGGCCTGCGCATACTCGTCCTCCTCCTCGACGCGGAATGGGTGGCACTCCGGCTCGGGATTGTCACCGATAAAGACGGCAAAGCTGCCCAGGTTTGACTCGGGTCCATCGTAGTTGCTGGCGGAAAACACAGTGAGAAGCTTCTTGTTGTGGTGTTCCTCGTAGCCCTTCAGGCACTCCTCGTGGGACCGCACGATAAGTTCAAGGCCGTTGTTCTTCAGAAACTCGTGGGTGAGGTCGGCACCGAAGAGAACCCCCGCACCCCGCACGCTTTCACGCCATCCATGCATGTCCTCCACCGGATCTGACCACAGCAAATCCTGGAAAAGTTCATCCTCCTCTGGTTGTGAGTTCTCCGGCATTGGAATCTGACGAAAGCGCTGAATCCGGCCAATGTCTGCTAGCGTCACGCCCTTGCGGCGTGGCAAACCGCCATGCACAACGAACACCTTCTTTCCAATGGTGGTAGCAAGAGGCAGGGCGCAGAAGCAGCGCTGGATGAGACGAAACATGTTCCGATCATACTTAGTGCTGACCTCGACATCAAATCCATACTCGTCATTCATGTAATCGCACTCATGATTGCCACGGTTCAGGGCGACGTATCTGGGACAGGCCAGAAGAAGCGAGAAAAGAATCAGCAACACCTCCACACCATGGGGGCCACGGTCCACAAAGTCTCCATTAAAAATGTAATACGTACCTTCATTTGGCATACCACACTCCTTGAGTATGTACAGGAGGTCCCCTAGCTGCCCATGCAGATCTCCAACCACAATAATTTTTGAGCCTTGAACAACCATTCCGTTTGAGACGCGTGCCCCAACGGGGGGGTCAAGACGCACAACGTTTGGCATGGTGTTAAGTAGACTCAGAGCCTGGGTGAAAATACGCCAGGCGGAGGGTTGTGGGGGTAGCACATGCTGTGCAAGCTCTCTGATGAGTCTTTGAATGAGTTGAACAGTAATAGGCTCTGACGCAGAAGTTGGGATGTAGTGTGAGGAGATGGCTGGTGCCGTAACACACTGAATTACGGAGCGTGAACGCTTTGGAACCAAAACACGGGATTGATTCACATCATCGCGTGCCTTAAATATGGCAAACCCCTCCTTCTTGAGGTCCAGCTCCCTAAAGGTTAGGCGAAACATGGTTTCCTCAAGGTACAACTTAGCCTTCATCCATCGCCACAGGAGCTGCATCCGTGCCACATTGTAGCTAACGCGCCCCCTTGCCGCATCTGCCCCATCTTTGCCCTGGTTGATACCGTTTGCGTGCCGGGCCAGCAAAGTCTCCGTAGCGAAGGGCCCATGCGTGATTTTGATGTGAGTGACAAAATTACTGGGGCACCACTTCATGATACGCGTGATACAGAGCTCACCACACGCGGCGCACCGCTGTGGCTGGCAGATGTCCCGGTGGGTCGGCATCTCGGTGGCAGGCACTACTGCCCCACACTTGTAGCACATCGCCTGCTGCTTCTTGTTGCACTCGTCAAGGTGCGGCTGCATCAGCCCCTGCTTCACAATCTGGCGGCACCACGAGTTCACGCAGGTCACTTCACGCTCGTCGCAGTTGACAGTGTGGGCGTTGAGCTCCTTCTCAGGAATGCGCCTAGCGCAGAAGTGGCACTGGGACCAATGGAGTTGGTCCCTCACGCCCCGGCCATTGTAGGCGCTGGAGACGGCAGAGAGACCGTTCACAGCGCTGTGGCCTCGCCTATCGGAACCTGCCGCGCCCGCGCTTCCGTGCGGCACGGCATTCTTTGTGTTATTGCAGCCCATCGTATTACCTCTACCTCGCCGCCTCTGAAGTGGGTGAGTCTTCCTACGCCCACGCCGTGCACTGCGCACGAGCGTTGAGACACGACACCAGCCAAAAAAAAAAAAAAAGAAAATTTACCGTGTCCACCCCTTTCCGCAACGAGATCGAGAGAGAGACACAAACACACAGAGAGAGAAAAATAAAAATAAAAAAAGAGTCGGTGCTGTTCGATCGACCTAAATGTACCTTGAGAATAGCTTAATGCTTTCATTTACATTTTTTTTTCTTTTGTTCGCCTCCCGCGTCTACCGCCACAATGCCCACCGCCATGGGCAGAACCCCCCAGCCGCCATCCGGTGTCGCCACTCGCGTCACTTGCGGCAGAGCCTCCTGCAGCCGCAACGCAGCAGCCCTAGGAACCTCGCTTGAGGCCCCACGCGGCATACGTATCCGTGGAACGTTAAGATAAAACACGTCCGACATGCTCTGAGAACTACAAGTCACACAAACGCACGCGCACGCGGACCTCTACCGAAAACAAAGGGGTCACACAAAGACGGCAAAGGGCGGAAGAGGGCGGCAAAGGCGGAGATAAAACAGCAACAACAACAGACACACAAAAAAAAAGGAAAACACTGGAAAAAAGAGGACGCTGTGATGGCGACCGGGAAGCCACCGGCGCAGAACCTTAAAGTCAAGAATAACGACAGCAACACAAGCTGCGCCTGACTGCCGTCTTCCCCCTCCTATTCCTACACAGGGGAAGGCGCACAACAACGGGGTGGTGGCGGT